ATATATGTTATTTAGTATTGAAATTTTATACATTTTTTAAAATGAATTATTATTTTTGCAAATTTTAAATATAATATAATTTGTTGATATGACAACTACATACTTTGTCAATAAATTCCGCTGTTCTTGCACCCTACCAAAATTTGCAGTTACAATACATAATTTTACTCTTGCCTCTTCCGGGCAGTCCATCTTCTTCCGTGAGACACAGAATGTTTCCTACATCACCGAAATTGATCCCAGAAGGTGAAAATTATTTTTCAGGCGGTAACACACGGTTACGTCGATCTTCTCTTTTTCCTCTTTGGTTTCGGCGAACTGACGAATAACAGGTTCGCCTTGCAAGGTGAGATACATATCCTTTCTCGTTGTCTCTCTCGAGCACGCATACACACAGGTCGGCGTGTGCAGGTGCACGATGGATGCACGTCTGGAAAGAATCGCATACGTATACATACAACATGGAGGAAGAGCCTCGCCTGTGGGAAAGTAATGCTACACCATGGGATCCACTGGGCTGGACCGCTGCTCTACCAAAGTCCCATAGTAACCTGCGCATACTATAGTCCGTTATAGTCGTCGTACTTTCTGCTCGTGTACACGGCCAAAGTAACTGACCACCATGGTTCCGATTTCTCCTCTTGCATTCCCTCCCCATCGTCGGTCCCGAGTGGTTCTCGAGTGGTCATCGACTTCGTGGAATTTGCATACGAGTGAACGTAGTGATGTCTTTATCGTCGGTCACTTAATTCCATAAATTAAAATTCGTTATATATCTATATACTACGACAAAATCCAGACAAATTATGGATCATAAAAATTTGTCATAAAAATTATAATTGTGACGAATGCTATAACATTTTGATGCAATATTTTGACCATATATTGTGTTTGATCATCTTCATGATGACTGATATAAAGCCATTAAATTATATGTTATTATCGGTGAGTATAAACAGGTTCCATAGACTAAACTGATAAACTGCTATGTACTTGGCGATAATGACATGTAATTCATGTAACGTCATTACGTCACTATTAGATTGAAAATGAAAAATGTGATTGCAGTCTCATTGAAACGACGTAGTGGTTACTCTTTCATATCTATAGTCCAACCTGTCTTAATATAAAACGCGATAATTATTCAACCATTATGTAAAAGGAATATAATAACTTACAATTAATTATGCAAAAGGAATATTAAATTACGATTACTAACCTTAAACTTAAACATTAAATCTTAGAATTAAATCCAAAAAGAATTATGTTAAAGAATTGTATTAAAGAAAAGAGCAAACATAATTGATTTAAAAAATTACGAAGAAAAATAATTTTGCTATAAACGCAAAGAGATCGCAAAATTTAATTATCAAATTTGTTTGTTTATAGCAAATATTTGATAATTAAATTTTGTATATTTGACAAATATTTTATATTTGTTGCAAATAATTTTTGTAGAGAGTAAAAAGAATAAATATTTATTACATCCTAGATAATTTACAATTCCTATATTTTGCAAATAGAATTTGCTGTTATAGAATAGGATTAGCGTTCACAGCAAATATTTTCTATCCGTGATAGTTGGAAATATTTAGATATTCTAATAATATGCAAATGGCTTTGTTTAGAGTATTTTCTAAGTTATTTCATAGATTTTCATATTATTGTATTGTTTGTACAAATTTTTACATTGAAACCGATTGATTAATTCCGATATAATTATTCTGCATACATAATACTGTAGAATCCATTGTATCTTCCATTATATCAATTGACACTAACTAAAAATAACATTAATGTTATAATTTCATACTCAGCAATATAAATGTAATTTAATATATGGTTACATAACAATTACATTTTTGAGTGCAAAATTATAACATTGATATTATGTTACTTTTAATTTGTGTCGAATGGGATATAATAAAAAGAATATTTGCAGTCTTACAAAAATATTCATCATGACAATGAGTTGACGCGACAGATCGACGCTCATACCTTTTGCGTGTCAGCGATAAGCCTGTGCCACTTCATGAAACTCAACGCACGTGCACATACATTTCGCATTGTCGGCAGTCGCCGCTGCACGCGCATGTACTAGCTTATCTGCCGATTGCAGCTGCACCGGCGCGGGCAATCTAGCCTGGCAAAGCTAATTGAATTTTCTCCCCGAGATCATCGTAAGAGAAGCCAGAACTTGTTGATGGAAGGACCTTCCACAGAGAAGCCCCTTGTCCGCGACAAAAGGCACGCGTGTTGCACGACCGAATCGCGATAATACGCGTGGCTGCTGCCGTGGAACTCTTTAGCGTCGCAAGTTGCAACGCGCCGCAATCTCGCGTCGGCTCGACCAGACCGAAGTCACTCGCAGTTTCTTACAGACATGCCACCGTTAGACTAGTGACGTTTTTCCACAACCGGCGATCATGGGTTCTCGACCCCGGTGAACTCAATGGGAAAAATTCAAGAAACTAAGCGTCGATATACATTCCTGGGAAAAGTAGTCATTTATAAATAATTGATGGATGTAAGATGTGATCTGTTACTTTTACTGATAGTGTCGTTACCGTTATATTGTTGTTGCGTATTATATAATACAAAAGCTGCGCAACGATAATAGAACGATAGCGATAATATAACGATAACATAATTGTGAAGAGTTACAGAATGCAGGGACGCTAAGCTGAATCGACAAACTTTAATTAAATTTCAGATCTTTTTTCTACTTCAATATTATTTATGACCATTAACTTTGGGATTATAATTGAAAACAATTGGAGAAAGCTCCAATTTTCTCCGAGTATTTTATAATCTTGATTTCAGCTCTTAAATTATATACATATAAGTGTGCCGAAGTATTTCAAAGACATCCCTTATTTTCGACACGCCTACACGTTCAAGATTGGCCTCGAATTACACGTGTCGACCACCCCACGTTGTATCTACTGCATCGTAAATGCCACCCAGGTGCCTAATCACGCGCTCCTTTCCTTTCAAAAGCCTACACCTTCCCGAGTACCTGCGGACTGCTTGGCAAGTGTTTCTTTCAACGGCTTTATTAAAGATCATTTTAATGAATCACCGTCGGAAAATGTAATGCAGTTACGATATTAGTTGGAAAACTCAATCGTGAGATGTAACACATCGGAAGGCGTGCTTTTATTCCTTCTTCTTTCCTCCATGAAAACAAGCGCGATAGCATCTATATGCAAATGCAAATATACACTCCGATTTAGATCGTGAAGTATAATGGCGGCTAAATTGCTATAAATACATACGGCATATTTTCCTCGAATCGACGAATATCTCAGGCACGAGTTATTGTTTTTGCTGGCCGGCACGTATAACTAGTTTATTAAATCGAAAGGAGAAGCATACACAACGTTATTGAGCGAATCGAGCCGACTCCCACGTACGTCTCTTACTTTTCCTTCACAGAGACGTAAACCCTTCTTTCTTCGATGTGAGCTCGACGCCCATGCAGTCGCTCGTCGGACGATCACGTAGGATGCGACTCTCGTGTTTTATTTTTTTTCTTCTTCTTTTCGAATGTGACAGGTACAGGCGTGTATATAAAATATCACCGTAAGGAAACAAGAATGAAGATTTGTTGGTCGAGCATGAGTCAAATAAGCAATCTCTTAACTCTCTCTCTCTCTATGAATGATTCGATTGTTTAAACATCAGTTAATCAGTCGAAATTTTGATTAATTTTCACTATAGAAAAAAATTAATTAATTTTTATAATACGTTAAAAAACATTTTATCCATGAAAATAAATATTATAATATTAAATTGTACAAAGTTTAGCGTTAGATTTTATTATATTTGATTTCACAAAATTCCTCTCTTTCTCGCAATCATGATTGTACGCCAGAATGGTTCAACAGACAAAAGAAAAGGAAATTCACAGGGACTTAATATGCCTCGGATGTTAAGTCGCTGTCGCCACACTCTTTGATCCTGATGATGATTACCTTAACGAGCATACGCTACTGCCATTGCGTAATGGCTCCTACGCGTCTCTTACCTCAGACACAAATCGGTAGAGACTCTTACACGCGGAACAGCTAATATAAGATAAAATTGCCGGACGTGCTTATCTGTAACGACCGAGGAACTGATCGAGGACCTCTTTCCCCACGGTGCGAAACTCAGCTGCCATACATGTATGTGTAGTTCACTTCTTTTTCAACAATACAACGCGGAACTTGTTGTGCCATATTATATTATATCTTAATTTCTTTACGTAATAAAATAATCTCAGATCGCTTTTCCAACTCGGATTAACTATTTTTACGAATTACTTCGCGTGATTGCTGCTATTGATAACAATTTTTATATATAAATACATAATAAATGTAATAGTAAATATTATAAATATACAAAAATATTACAAAATATTAAAAGATAATATTATACGAAAGATCTACAAAATATAATCGCAATACAACTCTCTTATATTAATTTTTTTTAAATTCTAATTTATATTTGTTTCAAATTATACATTTCATAAATTGTCATTTATAAATCCAAATATAATTCCAAATATAATTTGGAATAAGAATACAAATTGGAATTTTAAAGAAAAGTAACATTTATCGTTACTACATTTTATTAATAATTCTTAATATATTTTAAAGTAAACGTATAAACGCATAATACGCGATGAATTTATCAATTACAACCTCTCTATCTTGCGCACAAGTATTCAATTTACAGTCTCATTAACCCCTCCTTTTCTAGGTGGGTATTTCTCGTCTGCGACGTAAGAAAAAACTTCTGGAGCAAGAGTAGGGCCCGTTTCTTCGAGCGAGCGGCTGGTTCCGTGGATATGTGCCCTTCTTCTTACAAACGCGGGTACCGTCATCGCCCCCGCAGTTCCTCGGCGCACGCACACGATGACGGACACGCGTACATGCAACCGCATATACTACACAAGAAGGTCGTTCTCTTTCCTCTGCCTCGTCCGTTCGCGAGGCTTACTATGTCGCTTTACTCGCGCGTTCACCAGTCGCGACAGAACGCTCGCGGAGCGCGCACTGCAGTGCATCCATCACCGTGCGTTTCAGATCGATCTCAGATCTACCTCGAACTTCGACGAATTTTCTTCGAGAAAATTCTCGTTATATTTTAACATTCGTTACACGATGTCTGTTTAAGTAACAATTCGAGGACCATTTACTTCGTGTGAAATGTGCGAAGCGACTTATCTATGCGGGATCTTATGCCGAAATGCGCGCCGGCAATCTTTTATCATTCTGTCGACCCAACGCAATTGTGACTGGTGGTGAATCCGTTCGTGTGTTGTGACCGTCGCGCGTAAATTGCTCTCTAGTTTGAGACAGTGAACTTGAATGATGTCAATGCCGCACATTCGTCAACTTTGAATGTTTGGCGCGTATTGACGCGCGGGCTATTGCGTGTGCAGGCCGCTCAGCTGTGAATTTAATTGAAGTGAGTATACAATACTGAGAATAATATAAAATTTGTGTTTGATATTCGCGACATATCGGCTCGTTTTTCTTCTCTTTAAAAATCAGAAATGTGCGTACGAGCTTCCTTCCCGCCTCTCACTGCGCTCGTAATGATATGCCGATGTGTCCTTCGGATGCACGTGACCGCAACACATCGGTCCGCCGATGATGCATCGCAGGAAACACTACTGTTTCCTATTACAATTCCAAATGGAAAATTTTGCAGCGCATTATTAATATACATTGTACTCCAAAGCTATGCAGAATGACTTCTATCTTGAATTAATAGTAAAAAAAACATGTGTAATTGTTTATTGTTTATTAATTTAGATGTCTAAAGAATATAAAAAATAAACTGTTACTTTATACTTCTTTTTTATAAAAAGAATCTTGAATGAATATATAGATACATAAATATATAATCAGGATTGGGAAAGTTACTTTACAAGTTACTTATAAGTACTTTTTATTATAGAAATTGAGTATAATAAATTCGAGTATTTTATTTTTTATATTAGATATTTTATCATTTGCTTCAATTTCGTATTACTTTTTGTATTCAATTTCTATTACAAATACATAAAAAGTAATCTAAAAAGTGACTTATAAAGTAACTTTTTCAACTCTGTGTACAACAATTATAAATAATGCGGTACAATGATACAAGCATAATTTGATAATGACAAAGGCAAGGAAGAAATTATTTTCATTGGGTTCCCTTCCCTGCAACATCCCGCAGTTAGCGGAAAAGCATCCGTTTACTCTGCACATTCGATCTTTAAGCTTCTGACTTTCCGTACCTGCAGCTGACTTTAATGTTTATTCGAGCGCGTATGCTTTTTCTTGCTTTCCACATGCAATAGGCGTGCGTGGACACCGTTTCGGACATTGCAACCGCCTGGTTTCACTCCGACATCAAATTACATGGCCACGCTTTTAAATGTGCACCGTCCGATTTTTCTACGAGCGAGTTTCCCGCCACTTTCCACGTTTGTTGAGCCCAGCAATCACAGTAGCTGGACACTACTTATCGTCGAAAGACCGCCGTATCAATTATGGTTTTTCTACGACCTTGCGAAAGGAAACGCACAAAGAGGTTAATTCAAATGTAGGCTGTTCCATGCGACTTCCAGTAAATGTTCTTAAGAATCCATTACACATGGGCGGAAACCCACGCCGAGTGAAATTCAGAGCGACAATTTCACTTGTGTTGCTTGTAACGTCCCTAAAAAATAAGTAGTTCTTAAACCTGCAGTAGGTCATGAGTTTTTTATCGCAATCTTCTTGTATTATGTATTCTCCACATATCGCTCTGTATATCAAAGCTCCTATTATGCATACTTTGCTGATTTGTTATGCAGATCTTTTAACGTAAATCGACTATTTGAACATAATTATAGATAAAGAGGTGAAAGGAACATTTGATAAAATGTGGGAGTTGAGAACTGTTATCGCATTGCCTCCATCCATCAGAACAAATTAATCGAATTTATAGCCAGTTTATGGTTGTGCTAGTTATGTTGTTTCCTCAGCTCAACGCTCGCGATTTAATATTCAAACGATCCATGGATCCTGATTTCAGGTACGAACAAGAAGGAATGTTGAAGCACGTGTCTATCTCGCCGTGGAGAGGGCGAGCGGACAGCGTGAGCCTCTCTTCCAGCGGCGGCGCGAGTAGCTGCGGAAGCGGAAGTCCTACCCCCGGTCACACACCGCCACCCTCGAGAGCATCCTCATGCGCGTCCCTAGCACCCTTAACCGCCCTGTCGAGCTTCTCCCCGGCTGATACCGCGCCCCAACAGGTGAGTACCTTGTGATGTTCCCACACATTTGTAGGATTTACTATTTATAGCGAAGACTTCCGTAGAATTGTTAATCCGGAAATGAAAACCAGGAGAATTCCACATTGAAAAGAAAGATTGGTTGCTGCAACAATTTAGATAGTAAAATATGGCATAGTATTTTTATATCGAACTCATATACTGACATTGCGGATAGGCTAACGCAATTGAAAATTTGCTGCTACAACCAAAAACTGGTTGCTGTAATCGTATAAAAATGCTATACCATATTTTACTGTCTAAATAATTGCAGCAAGCAATCTTTTCTTTCAGTGCACTTGATTCTAAACCGCTAACACGGATAAGATTATTTCTCGATTAATATTCTCGATAAATTTTGTTTATTTATACACATATTGCCTGTTGCGATAGAGAAATTTATTTGATAAATATGCGAAGATTTTATTCTTGAAATATTTTTTATATTTAACAGTAAACTCAATAATTCAACTGACGTATAATGCGAATGAAAGCATGATAGGGCTATTATTATAATATAAACGCATGACGGTTTCATGTCGCCTGCAGGAGATGGTTAAGAACAACGCGGGAGAGTGTAAAAAGCATGTTGCGTCCAATAAAATAAATGAAGAAAACAAAATAGCATTCACGGGCGATCTGTTAAGTGATGTAAAGCGGTTTAGCGAAAATGAGAGCAGTATGTTTTCTGAACACTTATTAACAGCTGGATCACGTGTGTCCGCCTGACGGCGCTTGATGGATTCGTCATATTTAATCCATAATTATTTCTGCTACTTAATCTATAATAACACGTCATACCGTTTTGAATGCAATTATAAATATAATAAAGTGATAGATTATATATATATTATATATAAATAGATCGATAATAGCATTAATAAAAATGCTTCTAATAAAATATTAAAGAATCTTATTGTATATTTATATAAGACAGACTCTAACAATTAATATTGTTGAAATAATAGCTGCCTTGTAAAGTCGATGTTTTGGAATATTTGTAAGTTGACTGCTTTCAATGACAGTGTAATTTCTCACGGCTTCGTGCGGTTTCGCGTCCCTTTTTGCGTGAACAGAAACATGAGTCTCTCGAGAGTCTTCATCCCGGCAAGAGACGTTTAGGAAGGGCATATTTTTCTTTACCATCTGTACAGATCGTTGAACACATGCTTTATTCTGTCACCCGAAATCTCGCCTTCTCCTTCCCGTCCGAAAAATAGCGGATACTCTTAACGATTATTATGTTTCTTTAAATCGAACTTTAAATGCAAAATAACGATTTTAGGGTAATTTTAGGAAACAGATTTATCCGAAAGAGAATAGTCTTTCTTGTGGATATTTTTCACGTGAATAAAATAATGTAATCGGTTGTAAGCAACAGGAATTTCCTAAGGTGATTAAATATTTTTTGCAATTTTGTACGCTTGATTATGATCAAGGTCGACATATTTAGAATTTTTAATGTATCCATGTAAACGTTTCTATCCTCGTTTCCACTTGAGTTCTAAATATTACACGATTTTCCTCTATGCCTACGCGGCAAAGACTTTTCATTGTATTTACGCTCGTCTGACCCGTTTCGCACGCGGGTTGCAGAGGTCGTCGCGGAATATATAAGTCGCTTCCGTTAGTCCGAGATACCGGTCGTGTATACTTCTTCGTGTGATTATACTTGATAAATAATTTCTTAATAACGTACGAAATGTAGATTTAAAAAAATTAGCATTCTAATTATAATTGTAATGACTTCATTTAATCCAATAAGTATATTCACGGATAATGTCAGTCGTATAAAATACTTTATACGATGATGATTGTTTGGAATTAAATTTTTAATTATGAGATATTATGGCGCTATAAATTCTGCAAGTATCTTTATCCCGACAAGAAGTATCTTCTTTTTATTGTGGGAAGTAATAGAAAGCAGCGACAAGATCCCCGTTTTCAAAGCATAAGATACATATACACCGCAGTTTTTGTCACTGGAACCGAGGATTCTCTGTGAGAACCCCGCATACCGTGATGTCACACATACTGCAACCACGTTCACAATGCGCAGTGAAAAACTAAACGAGCGACTGTAGCCATAGCGGATCCACTTAATCGAGACTGCCGGTCTACACAGAGTTTTTTATTGCTTGGTCACGATTAGGCGGTATGTTTGCAAAGAACCTTGGCCAATTACTGACACTTGAATTCCATATTTTTCCCAATTAACACTGCAATACTAGACACGTGAGAGAAGCGCCATCGCTTGGTAGTCACACATTTGGAATCTTTACTTTCAATGCATTTCTGTACATTTCTTTTAATTTTTGACATTAATAAATATTAGATCATAAAATTAATTAAATATTGAAATAATGAGTACTATGTGTCTTGCACAAGATGGAAGTCTATATTTCGTTACGCCTTTAGTCCCAGACTTGTCCTAGCCCTTGCGATAATATCCGATGCGGTAGGCTGTGTTTCCGGTTTCTTTGTGATTCTACAGTTTGTTGTTGGATAATTTTGATAAGCTTAATTTTATTATTCCAACTAAATGCCAAGTTTTTATCAACATGCACTATTTAATGCAATGTCGCATTGAATCCTATATCGTCAGTCATTTTTTCATCGAAAACGTCAGATTTTTAAGCATATTTGAACAATTTCATTTTTTTCAATTGAGTATCTATTACATCTGATTTTGTAATGTCTAATTTTTTTAGAAAGAGAAAATTGCACTTGTCTATCTTTCACTATCATGAAGATAATAAAAACGGAAGTGACGAAATCATCTTTGGCACGACATGTAGAAGATTTCGAAAACGTTCGTTGTCCCGTAATTTCCCTCGGAGTAGGAACGTTTCTCGCTTCGGTGACTCTAGGAAGGTCGAATTCACAATGTGATGACCTCTCTTATTCGCGACCAGGTGCTCTCAAAGAACGCGTAGTTGCAAACTTTGCGAAAAAAAATTCACATGAAAATTCATTTGAACAATGAAGAACAGTTTTGTACAGATTTTATCTCGTTTTTATTTTTACAGTTTTAGCGGAAAGCTTATGGTAATGAAACACGGTAATGAAAAGATGAAATATTATACATTCACACAAGAGATAATATTTTACATTCAACAATGTAACTGTTACTTACAACTGTGTTATATTACATTTATATTGGTGAAATTATGACAAACATCGACCGAAGAGATAATTTTACATTCAACAATATGATTTGTAACTTATTTACTATTTGTGTTATATTATATTATTGAATGTAAAAATTATAATTTTGTTAGTTGATGTTTACTTTATTTACTGGGCTATTATGCGATAATATAATAAATCTTACGACTTGGCTATCATGCGACAGCAATAATAATAATAATATGACAGCAATAATAGAGATATTATCATAAATATCTTTCTCTATATCCTGATTAACTCTATAAGGGGTCGCGCCGTCTCAGACTTGCATTTACTGTAGAGTCATTGGTCATTATTTCGTCACTAGCGTAATCAACTTATTCTCGAGTTCTTTGGAACATCCAGGTACGTACGATTATATGCACGTACGTGAGAGAATAAAAACGTTCTAAGATCGTTTCCTCCAATATTCACTAACATTGCTTTTCCTCTTCCTGCTCCGATTCTCTCTCTCACGGAAGACGGGTATAAAAAGCACATAATAAAAATTGTGTGTTTGCGTTAATTATTACGTGCCGCCTCACCCGCATAACGATGCGACGTAAAGAAAAAAAGACCGAAGGAAGAGATACAGAAAAGGAGCGGATAATGTCTTCTTCGAAGTTTTCTTTGTGGAAGAAGCCCCGTACGATGACAAACCCGTACGGTGATTCACAATAGTCTATAATCAGGATATAACTCATCAAAGGAGCCTTTCCTATATCTATAATTCTCTCATATTTTGCGGAATGTCCAACAATGTCTGAGAAAGATAAAAAAATATAGAACACAAAATCATAATAAGAGAGATAACATCAAATAAAAGTAAGTACTTCAGGGAAAATCATAATGATGTTATTTGATATACTTTTAACGATAATTTTATGATGAATTCTGGACGTGATAATGATTTTTTAATTAGAAATTACTTAAAAATCAGTATTATGTTATGAATTCATTAAAATTATCGTTACATTCTGTAACGAAATTCTCTTTTCTCGAAATATTATTATTTTTCCTAAAATCACTTCTACTGGAATCTTGGAACTTCTTATGATTTTCGGTTTTGTTTCGGTATAAAAATGATGTTTCTTTCTGTGCTTATATGTCCGATTGATGGTTCATCAGTTGCATATTGCAACTTTTCGTGCCGATCGGCTCTCCAATCCGGTTCTGTCGCCATCTTTAACAACTATTTACGGAGCATCAAACGCGCAGCGCATCGTTTCTTCTGTTACGCCGAAGATAATTATAGATTATTATCCGCCTGCATTTTCTGAGGGGAACGTGAGATGAACTCGTCTGCTCGAATGGATTGGAGGCTTGGGAGTCTTTACCGAATGGACGATCTTAAGCAAACACACTATAACCGTACGAAAACACTTCTGTCACAGTAAAAAGTAGGAATTACATCTGGTTTTTCATCATCAATGATGAGGAATTCCTCGTTGTTGATGTAACTGAGATGACGTATTCAATGCATAATCTTTTCAGATCAAGACTTCGTTTACACGTGGAAGCTCACGACAGACGATATCGTATCGTATATGTGAGAGATAAAAATTTTTTATCAGAAAGATATCTCAGACGCGTAATTCTTCTCAAGAATATAGGTCGTAATTGTTTCTCTCCGTCGAAAACGTGGAAATATTATCGCAAAGTCTGTTGTATCGCAATGCATTTATCACATGTTAGGGGAAGAATAACTGTATGCTAAGTTCAAGATTATGACCGGAAGTACTATGTTAACTACTAACAACAAGGAGCAATCCTCTATTGCATGCGATAAGAATAATCGAGTCCGGAAGCGTCAT